GTACACCTGTCGGTCTTATCGCTTCAAGCGACCTCTTCTAGGAAACCCGAAGGCGATCTATGTTTCTGAAGTAGTCCGCTAATTTGATGGGAAAAATAATAATTGAAGAGTCTGTAACTTTTTTACGAAAACATCTACATTTCTCTAGAATTTGAACATGGAGCCCTCGAAAGATTTATCGCGCCACAAAGATGTTCAATTTTAAATTTATAATGTAAGAACCGGTAAGAACAGGTGTGCAACAAAGTATCAGGTTTTCATAGCTGTACAGTTCGATTTACGACAGGAAGTCGAATTTTTATTTACTTTTAGGATTTTAATGAGTTCTGCACCAATAGCAAAATTATAAACCTGGAGGGTTTGTTTCTTTGAACGCGCTAAACTCCGAAAAACTAGTTCGAATTGAACAATTATATTTGTACCCTTTAGAACTATTATCGAGTAAGGTTTAGATTATAGAACATCCGGCTGCTACTAATAGGAGCGGAAAAAATCAGAGGGAAATGTGGAATAAACTGGGAAAAGATATCCAAAAAAATAATTTCCGCGACAGTATGTCTTTATTTTAATATTAACTCGCATGAATGCCGGGCTCGGACGATGTGGGTAATAGCTATAATTTATAAAGCTTAGGAGTTAGTTAACAAAAAAATAATATGATGCCCAAAATGATTATGCCCCACGGACGAAGTCGAGGGCACAGCTGAGAAACAGCTAAAGTGTTTGTTTGATTGAATTCGCTTAGTCGTATCCATCGTCGTATTATTGCACAAGAGGGTGAAATTCGTATGCACTTTGAAATAAATCGTTTTTGGTTAATAAAAAAACGCCTAGCGGTTTATGCAAATCATTTCTAATACCATGACGTCCATAAAAATTCTTAATGCATCGATTCGACCAAACCCCGATATTCTATATGCATCAAACCTTACTACAGTATATAGAACGTCCTACATTATGTTTTAGCTTTATAAAACTTCTATAGCTCTTCCGGGAACAAGCTCTGGTTTCCCTAGTCCTCAGTGAAGACCCTGGTATAGTGCGTGGGTATATCTATTTCTGCCTAAAACAAAAGCCAAAGGTCAACCGTGACGTCTGGCACCACGCGTACGCTACAACCGCTGAAAATGTGCTTTTAAAGGTTAAAAGTCATAAATGTATGTAGCAATAGACTATTAAATTTGTAAATTTTGTAAGGCTTTCGTTTAGTATATCATTATTTTTCGGGCTGTTCTCCAATTGAATTTATTGATAGTATTAATTCTTCCGATGATCATGATGATGTTGATGACGCCGTCCGCTCGTGAAGGCGAAAGGACAAACACAAAAATAAGAACAGTATTAAGTCATAAGAGTGATCTTATGACTTAATACTGTATTATAAAACCAAACTAAAGAAGCGTAATAAACGTGTTCAATATGTTTGTGTATGTATATAATGTTCCTTGCGTCAATGATAAATAATATCCTAATAGGTGGACAGAGGACCAGGTCAAAGCAAATGGAAAACGGTGGAAACGAATTGAAACAGTGAGCGATCTTTTATACTGGAAGCCTATCGGCATTGTCACTAATTTGCAATCTATTATTTGTATGAGTAATAATCTACCGGTCGTGGGTTCAATATCCGGCCGGGTTCAAGATATACCTAATCAATTTATAAATTTTACGAAACAATTTGAACTTCGTCTGGACATCCGGATACTGAAGGGGTAGAAGTGACCTCTAACCGGGCTCCACCACCGCTAAAAACACCTTGAGCAGCGCATTTTGTTAAGATTTTATAATGCTAGTATACCTTCATTGTCTTAAATCATAAAAAGCTATTGAACAGGGAACGCCAATCGGTTGAAACGTATAATAATTAAAACCCCACATCATAGGATACGTTAATGACAATTAGCTTCTGTCATCGTTCATTACATTTACGACTGTTAATCTTCATTTCTCTGAAGACACGAGTGACTCATGCTTTATCTTTAGAACAGTAGATGCGCACTTGATATCTATAATAATAACACTTAATTCAAATTCGGTTTAGTGGTTTACGTGATGCTTTGCACTTTCCAGGATTTGAGTCCTGCATAATTATAAATATGTAGAACTAAATTCCAAATTAGATACAGGCGTGAATAATTATATTAATAGATGGCATTTTCACTTGTCATTATATAAATTAAGATTATATTTATATTATAATTAAGATTGAAAATTTTTCATCACACCAATTTTACTTAATCGGTAAGAGCAGTAACAGGAATCAATATGAATGCCGGTTCAAGTTCCGGCCGTGTCAACGATTATTTTTCAAGTAAATAAATGTTTTATTTGTATAATAATATGAGAAATGCGGTTAAAAGATTTCAAAAGCAGAAATATCTGGACACCATGTAAAAGTTGGTCTCTCTGTGTGTTTGCGACATCATATATGTAAAACTGCCAGGTTTCTAAGTTTCGCGAAAGTTCATTAAGGCAATCCTTAGATTTTCCCCCTTGGAAATGAAGGAATGGGTGAACAAATTTCTGTACCCACTTCAATGGTCCTTTCCCCAAGGGGAAGGTTGATGAGACTTCTGTTCAGTGTTCGACCGAAACAATCTATTGTGACCCCAAGATTCGAACCAAAGACTTTTCGCGTGTTGCCTCGTTTTACCATGTTTAACTATTTACCTACAGAGGCGGTCACTTAGATTTAGATAGACTGTAGCTGAAACGTCGCATTGTGCGATGTTTCAGCAAGACCGAAAATTACCAGACTTCCGAAATCGGATATTAACACACTTGGATCGGATTGGCTGGTAAGTTATCATTTTGTAAAGGCCATTTTACATTTAATTATTTTTACTGGTTAAAGCAATTAATTGTTAGCTTGAATAATTCACTTACTCGCATTCCTAGAGAGAGATGCATATACTCGTATATGAGGAAATCCTATTAGATTATGTCTATGGGTTTTACCAAGCGTAATCGCAAAACACAGCTACGTGTTCAGTATAAAATGTGAAGGAAATGAGATCTACATTGATTTTTCATCAAAATGTTAAAGTACAAAGTACACAAACAAAAATGTACCTTAGATCACCTAATAAATTATTGAAAAAATTTACTTATTTGAAAAATTATTGATAGTGCAGAAATATTAATGTCTGGAAATATTATTATTGTTTAGAAATATAGATACCGGACCTGATATGGAAATTTCAGTGGGTTAGCAAAAAGTTTGATACTATGTTGGTTCATCAAAAAACAAATAAGATCATCAATTTGTTAATTAATCAAATATCTGTATAAATAAATGTATTCTTTGTAATATAAGATCTAATCATTTTTTTTATTCATTGTATGTAATGCAAATCACATACAAACTACTCACCATGATAAATTTTGATGATAGAAATTATTTTCTTTAAAATTCTGACTAAACTATAAGATGAAATGACTCACTGTATGGTTTAAATTAATATGGCTTTATCTTAGTTTTATTTTTTTGACAAAACAACAGACCATTCATCACAGTCATTGTTTAAAAGTATTGAATTTAAATTGTTTTCATAATAAGGATGTATATGTATACTATAAATCTTTGCACTACTTGACTATTTGTAATATTTAACAATAAGTATTTTCTATATAGATGGGTATGATATGACATCATTAATCAGAAGATAATATCAAAGAATTAAAGATGGAACAAATAGTAAGATTCTGCATGTAAACTGGAAGGTTTCAAGGGGACACAATGAGAGTTAGATAATCAAAATCTTCTGCAAGGAGGAAATGGGAAAATGGGTGAAATAGTTAGCCGATGGTGTGGACTAATCACACAGCCTTCTATAGCTGTCCCTGATAGAAAATAATAATAAGATATCATCAATGCAAAGCTCATTTGGAGAAATGTGGTGACCTAAGTAAAATATTAAACTAAAAGCAAAGGAATGTACCGAGATATTAAAAAAAATATTAATATATACATTATTTTTGCATTGACTTAACACTACATTAAAATTCTACAAGAAATTTAACTACATAGCAAAAACTACATCAGCTCACCTTGAAATAACACAAAACATACATTGTATCATACAATTGCAATTTGTTTTGATTTCGAGAAGTTAGTGACGCCCGGAAAGAAACCCTACGTCGTGTAAGAAATATGTAACGCACACTAGAACTATTTTGTCGTAGTAAGTTATATAAACTACAGGTGACCTAGAAAGGCTATTACTTATAAGATAATCAATAGAAGACACTGCTATATTCCAAATATAGCCCGTGTTACAAATAAATTTCTTACATGAAAATGTACGTTATTGATCTTCGTAAATTGATATTATCAATCATGCAAGCTGATATATTTGAAACACATAATTATTAATAACACGTGTGATTAACGATTCGGCTTACACTTGTATGAAAAGAACGTGTACTGAGAATGAAATAAAATAATTTACTTACCGAAGCCTTACGCCGATCTCGATCGTCTGTGTTTAAATATTTTCAAGGTTTTTATCAAGTAAACTGCATACGTATATGAGACCGCACGTTTAAAAAGTAGAATACTGCACTCACATAATACTTAACTCGATGATTTTAATTCACTATAATTCAGAAACCCACAGCTCACAAGGAAACAGGCTTTTTCAGTGCAAATCGTAAGTAGACATGCATTTAGCATTAGTGATCGGACGTGTATCAGCTGTCAATGTCGATTCTGTGAAGGGAAGTAAGCCGTAAGTTCAGTTGGTATTCGCTATGGAATAGCGCATCTGTGAATGACTTCGCCAAAGATTTCAATCTGTCAAAGTTGTAAAAAGGACGAGTAAGCCAGTCAAGTCAAACTTATGTTATTTTCGACAAGGATCCAAATAAAATTATATATATTAATAATTAAAAGGTTGTAACTTACGAGCGACCAGATCCACCGACCGTGTTTTAGAACACACTAAAACTAGTAGTACTCAGTGAATTTTCTTGTATACTGTATCCAGGAAATATACAGAATGTCAAGTGCTAGATCAGTTCGTTTGGCGCGCGAAATGAAAACTTTGTGCAGTAAACCACCATGGGGAGTAACTTGTACTCCGGAAAAAGAAGATATATTTGACGTGCTATCTGTTAAAATGTTTGGACCAAGAGGCTCCCCTTACGAAGCTGGGCTATTCAAATTAGTAATTAATGTCCCAGAACGTTATCCGTTTGAACCGCCGCAAGTAAAATTTGTTACACCGGTTTACCATCCCAATATCGATTCAGGTACGTTTAAACAAAGTTAAAGAGATATCAGCAAATTATCCTTTATTGTTTGAAAACGTGCAACACTATTATATATGCAGCACAGAATTTTTTTACAGATATATAGTATATTTTTGTATAATATTAATTTCAGCTGGAAGAATCTGCTTAAACATGTTGAAAATGCCACCTAAAGGTTCATGGCTGCCTACAATTACTATAGAGACACTTTTAATATCAATACAAACTCTGCTAGCAAATCCTAATCCTGATGATCCTCTAGTAACTCAAATTGCTCTAGAATACAAATATGATATTGAAACATTTCAAGAAAATGCAAGGAATTATACAAAGGAACATGCCAGGCATGCATAATGATAAAATCCAAGATATAAGTGTCGTCTTTCAAGACTGTGAAGCCTGTATAAGGTCCTCCTGCAATAAGAAGGTCCTTATTTCCAAGATATGATGCTAATTGATAATTATTTAAAACATTAAAATATGGAATTACAAAAAAAAACTTAAGTATTGTTTTCAATTCATTTGATCCCATGAAATATTGTTGTGTTACAATGCAAATTTAAGACTCATATATAGATGATAATACTCATAGATATGTGGACTGTACAAAAGAAAGAAATTTTTCAATTCATTCCAGTAGTACCTAAGATAAGCATATTCAAACAAACTCCTCTATAATATTATTATAGATAATAAAAATATTCTGTGACTTTAGCATGTAAGGAAATATATTTCTACTTACTTAGTAAATGAGTATTTTTCAGAGTGATTAATAATGGTGTATAATTGCTTTTATAGTACATAATGCAATGATTATTTTAAAAGTAACAGTTTTACTCTTATACTTAGTCTTATAGCTATATATTTTTCTCAACAATCAAAGATAGCAAGATTATATTACAGAATGCTTATTATTATCCTATAATTTAACTAATGGTATAAGTGAAATTCTGTTTCGGGATCTGTTTCAGTAATCAACTTTCTTTACAGGGTCTACCTGTACCAAAACAATTTATGGTTTCTCCAAGATTTGAGCCCAAACCTCACACACAAGGCAGTCTTCAATACTTATTGGCATATTATATTTAGGACAAATTATATTAAGAACAATCATTCAAAATTATTTCCCTATGTGTATGTTAGGAGACATGGGTTAACATGTGACCATTAACAACAATTTTGGGTTAATTAAAATTTCTGCTACATCTGGCAAGATTTGTATTATATACATTTTGACAAGGAATACTTTATCAATATTTAAAAATGATTATTATATTAAAATATATATACATTTTTGAACTGTTCAGCCACCACATTTAAGAAATGCTGATGATGTCATTTTCGTGTAATGATGACATGTTAAGACTGATTAATGGGTGAACAGCTTTATAGCAACAGTAGTTTAGGAATGGAGGTGAAAGCCTTTTAAATCTATAATTAGTAATGTGATTATAATCTATAAATCCTAGTGTGAATTTTTTTAATAACCAAATAATAAGGATTATGTTGTGGTAAGTGAACCCTCACAAGATGAAGATGGTCCAAGTCAATTTTGTGAATAATTGATCTCCCATGCCTCACCCATTACAAAGAGATGAAAACCATTAATACACCATTTCATTCAACCAGTATCAGTGCTGCTTTCATCGCCAGAACTAGCACTTTCAGTATCTGATGAGCTACTACTTTTCTTTTTAACAGTAGTATTGTCCTCATCCTTACCCCTTTTCTTTTTATCTATAGGTTTTAGGGTCTCTGTTGAAACAGTGGCAACCATTTTTGATGATACTTTGGATTCAGCCTGTTTTGTGTCATCATCATCATCATCAAGTGGCTTTATGTTGGCTGAGGCAGATGTTATTGCTTCTTTATATGCTTCTGGATATTGAGTGCTAAAATAATGTTAAATTTAAAATGTTAACTAAATAAATATATATAGTTTTAGTATATATAGAAAAATATATAATAATTTATTTGTTACAAATAGTAGTTTTAAAGACTAAAGACAAACTTAATAATTACCTTAAAAAAACTATTAGCAGACATATATATATATATAATACACACCTCAATTTTGTCTTAATAGCTCTAATTTTTTTAAATATGAACTCTAAGTCTTTCTTCATATCAAGCAATAGCTGTGTATGCTTCTTGAACTCCACTGAAGCAGCTCGAAAACGGCTAGCTGAAAGCTGGTTGCAATTTGTCAACATTTCTGTCGTTTTCTCAAATCTCTGTAACCTGGAATTAATAATTGTTGCACACACAAAAATAGCACAGAAGAATTGTTTCCTTCTCCTAAATGGTGAGTAAATCTATCAAATGAATATTCTTTAATCAGTTTTAGTAGAGCATGTATTATAAGTTATGGGAATAGGAGGTATGGGTACACGGCCGGTACTTACATGGTTTTCTGTGCACGTATAATCACTTCAACGTCAGACTGGTCCACCATACCAGCAAGACCCTGGACAAATACTTCTGGCGCAGAATAGTTTTGAAAACATTCTATAGAAAAGTCACTTTCCGGAGTCTCGTTAGCCATTCTTAGATATAAATATTTTTAGTTTTAGCAAAGATTTAGTATCATGATATCATGAGCGATCAGTTGAAATGTAAAAAAACGGAAGCAGTGTAATTAACAATAACTTTGCCCTTAAAATTGGTTAAACCCTAAATACATTGTGGGGTTGTCCTCTCATTTAATCCACAAAACGAATTTCATTAAAATGTATAAAACAAATACAACACACAATACCAATTTATTTGTTATCCAAGTGACAGTAACAAGTAACAAAAGTCATCAGAAAGCTACTGACAGTTAACAGTTGACGGTATCATATTGTGACGTTAATTAGAAGTTTATTATAACCTTTTTTTAAATATTTATAACATATATATTGGTAGACAAATATGATATAAGAATGTTTTTTTTTTGTATGATTCACAAAATTTGGATACAAATTATTAATATCATCATTCATTTATCTCTAAATTTCTGTCTTGTTTACGATTCTTTCTCATTTTATAAAACGCTACATAAACCCATTTGGGAACAACAATTTCATACATATTTCTATTTTTATGTGGTAGCAATCGCATATTTCCTTTTTTTCCAAGTAACATATTAATTATTTCCTGCTCTAATTCGAGATCACTCATTCTTCTCTCTCTATACAATTTTTTAAGCCTTTTGAACTCTCTTCTTGGTTTTAGTGTTAAAAACGGTAAGGGCCTCTTCGGTGGGATATTCTTTACGTAATTAAATATTCGCTGAATAGCTTGTTCCCTAAATTCGTTGTAAAACTTTGTTATTTCCTTTGGTGAAAATGATATTCTGGAACGTTTGAGTTGTAGCTTTTCATCACTATCACCTCTAACTAATTCAAATATTTCAAAAACAACCGCTTCCAGAAGATTCTCAGGGTTTTCGTCTTTGTTACCTATTCTCAATGACTGCAGAAAGGTTTTAATATTAGAAGGTCCTATTATCACAACTTTAATGTTTTTATTACGCGGTATAAAATTATTTTGTTTTTCTTTATTGTTAAAAGAAGCTTTACTATTTTGATTGTCTATTAGTCCGTAATCGTTTAGATCAGATGCTACCTGAGCATTAACGTCATCTAACAATGTATCTTCGTCATTTTTTCCACAACGTGTAGAGCTGCAACCACAACGACCTGGCCCGCTGCAACCACACCTACCAAATTTCTTGCACATCTCGTCAGCATCATATGTGTCCACCTTGTTAGCATTTTCATTATTATTGTTTCCTTGAAGATCTCGCAAAATATTATCAACATAATCTAAATTATTTTCACTGTTTTCTTGAAGTTTGCTTTTCTTATTTACAATGTTATGGAATTTTATTGATTCTTTTTTATTAGAAGTTACGTCACTTATGATTTTGTCTACAGTAGATAGTAAATTATCGACTAAATAAGTTTGTTTTCTACATGTTACCAGAGAAACAATGTTAAAAATTAACAGGTTTACCTTCATAATGTTCACAAATCGTATTGTGCTACAATGTCATTAATTGTGTTTTTATTATTGTAGTTACAATGTACAATTACATTTTTAATAACTATACCATAAGTTAACTGTGAAATTGCTTTTACTACTGTATAGTTAGTACCTACCAAATTAAGTGAATTGTTTCAGAAATTATATATGCATTTTTAACTTTTAATAGCTCGGCACGATCTCAATTCCGAGATCTGCCGATTCTGCCTTAAGATGTTTTGTACCATATTAGATCAATAAAGGAGAATGTATAAATCATATAGAATTATGAAACATTTTGTTTTTCTTAGTAATATTAATTTACTTGCACTAATCCTTGTATGTCTAACACAAAAGGAACTCCATAATGACCGATATCTGAGCTTAAACTTCTTCTCCATACGAATTTTTCTATTTTCTTAGCCCCTTGCTTCTTCTGCAGTCTAGTCTTCTGTTGTGATGTTAAAGGCAACACTCTCTTTGGAGGCGAACGTTTCTCAGTTCTTAAGCTCTTTCCTTCTTTCATTTTTAGTACCGCCAAATACATCCAATCAGGAAGAATTACATCATATGACACTTTAGTATCTTTGTCGGGAACTATTTTGATTTTGAGCATGTCGTCTAACAGTACTTTGAAAATCTGCTTCTTTAATTGTTTGTCAGACATTTTAAAATGTCTGTATTTTTCTCTTATCGATTGGATTCTAGTCCGCACCTCTTTAGGTAAGCTCTTTACTACTTTTAATTCTGTTCTGTATTTTATAAAACCCATGAGCGTACTTCTTAAGTGTTCCATTGCAGATCTATAGTAGTCATAAATGTCTTCAGGAGTTAAAGGTTTAGGACGAGTTGTCGTTAATTTATTTTTTTCTTCATGCATCTCATTGTCATTCGTAATCTCGTTTAGTTCGGATAAAACTGCTTCCAAAAGCGTATGTTCCTCTGAGTTCTGTTCTGAACTATCGATAGTAAAATCGTCCGTTGTAAATAAGTCGTCGAAGTTTTTTTTATTAGGAGCACTTTGCCACTCTTTCTTACACCCCTGTATTCCACATCGCAAATCATTGTTATTTTTTGCGTCTTTGCTATCTTTAAGTACACTTGTGTTTATATCCTCTATCATAGTTTCAACATCACTAGCCGCATCAAAAACATCTTGGGCGTCGCAAAGAAGTTTAGATCTACCACAGGAGCAGCCCGTCTTTTTACATATTCTGTCAATGATTGGATCATTTATATCTTCACTTGCATCACGTAAATATTTGGTTTTTACCTCACTATTTTTAAACTCTGGATTCATGTATTTAGTTTTGTATAACAAGTTCAATCCTTGTTTTGGAGTATAAAGACGATTAATCAGTTCTGATATTTCAAACGTTAGGTTTGATTGTTTCTGTTTGCTCGGACATAGTATCGCTAAAGTTATAAGAAAAAGAAAGCAAAGTTGCTCCTTATTCAAAAACATTTCTAAAACAGAGGTAAGAAGTAGTTTTTGCTAATTTGCTACAAACGTGGTAATGTTTAATGAAACGTGTAATTTAGCATGAAATAAGATTAGATGTGATTACTTATAGGCTTCAAGATCTATGTAAGCATTCTTTACGCAGATGGCAGCAATGAATTCGACATTTTATTTTTCTTATTACGTCTGCTTACTTTGCGCATTATACACACAATTCAGTAATGTACTAGAACCAGAAACGTCAAAAAATTAAAAATGATAATTTAACAACTTATCGATTTGCAAGAAAGCAATTTACGTTATTTTAAATCTATGATTTTAATTCGGAAATTTGGTTGTATAATGTATTAATATTTAGGTAAGTTAATTTTCAATAAGGCTATCTCTGTCTCAATAAATATCCAGGCTTTTTAATATAGAAAATTATTAATGATTGAATACACATAAAGAGTTTATAAAATTTAATATTCATATTATACATGTAAATATATGAAAAAAAGAAAATGTTTAATCTAGGTTTCATTAGCATTTATTGCAAAGGCGTTTGTAAATAACCTTCTACTTTTAAATTAATTGGAAATGCGTAATGCATTGATACTCTTTCATCGTTAGTTGGTAGACTTCGTCTAGTCTTCAAATCGTGTAAAACGTTTGCCATATCATCAATCTTCACAGCGGTTTCTTTAACACTAGATTTGAATCGGTTTAAATTAGTGTTGAAGTCGTCTACGTCTTGGCTGTTACTTTCCATGTCGTCGTGGTACGCGAAGTCGTTGTTCCGCCTCGATAAGTGTATTTGAAGTAATGCTTCATTGAGTAAACGATTCAGTTGGGCTTCCCTGGGAACCGTATTTGTTAGATAATACAAGTACACGACCATCAAATAAGTTTGGTAGTTATTGAAGTAGTGAATTCAGAAATTAATAATGTTTAATCAAGTATCAAGTGTTACTAAATACAAAACAAATACCTTTCCTTTTTCATCTGTTTAAAAATTTTCTCCCGCGATCTTACAATGGCTTTACTTTTTTTCCAGTCACCGCGTTTTGATTTTCTTCTGTAGTCTATATTTTGATCGCCCATTCGTCTATATAATGATTCTTCGGATTCTTGCGGATCAAAAGCGGTAGTTCTGTATTTGTTTTGCTGGCGGATTAAGTTACTTAGGTCAAATCTACGAATAAATTGTAACGATTACACAAAAAAAATAGTTTAGCCATTCGGAAAGGTATTGTTTAGTGTAAATAAATTTACCTTTCATTTCGGTCGTCAAAAGTAAGATCAGCTCTCATTCCTGTGTTCATAGCATATCGACAAAAAACTGATGTAACAACGATTGACGTAGAGACTAGTATAAAACTAAACATTTCTTTTCTGTTACAATGTCTCTTAACCTTACAAAAGCCAATATTATAAGAAAAAGTATCTAATATGAAAAATAATCAATATTTTGCAATCGTCATGGCGATTAATTTTTAATGGAATGTGTTGGCTAGTTGGAATTCAATTTTACTTACACCGTTTAAGAGAGGAATGAACACGTCTAAATAAAGTCATGTGTTTAGGTTTATAATATAAAAATAGCGAAAATATACATACCTAAAGCGGAAATACAAATCTTTAGTTGCATCAACTTTTATGGTTTATGAAATTTAATTGATTTAAATAAAACACTTTACGTTTAAAACCGATATATATTAAACTTATTTGAAAATATAACGGGGGGGGGGGGGGGGGGGGGGGGGGGGGGGGGGGCGGGGGGCGGGGGGCCCGGGCCGGGGCAAAGAATCGTTTTAAACCGTTAAAGTGTTTTATTTAAATGTGTACTACTCGCGTAACTAAATATTTAATTTAATTATATAAATGAATAAACTTACTTCTTTCGTTAGCTTCAAATTATTCTATCATAATAGTTTATTATAAGGGAATATAGTAATCATCTGACATTCTAAATGCAAGTGGACTCAGCAGTTTTAACAAGTTTCAGAACGCACTCCACAAAAGTGCGGTCCGTGCATTTGGCGGGAAAAAATGCAAATGGCGCTGCGTGACGTCACGTCTCGCGCCAGATGCTATCGCGCGTGTGTTCCGACTGATGTTGTTTTAATTACACGACCGCGTTTTATGTTTTATTTCGTTTCGAACTTTTCATAAAATTCTGGATTTTCATACTATTTTTAACGGCCACCTACAGAGATTATAATGCATTGAAATGTTTTCTTTTAAAAGTTTTTCAATAAAAAAGTAGCACAGATCCAGAAACCCTAAATACAGAATATTATTTATTTTTTATTATGTAGCACTAATGCTTTTTTTATTAAAACCAACGAGACTCTCATAATGCATTATGTCATTTGAGGTACTTAAACCGTTTAACATTATAGGGCTACGAGTAGGTACAAGAAGAAATTGTTAACTACAGATTTGGTAACGCCTTAATGAGTTGTGTACATCCGAGAAGAAAAGTCTAAACAAAATTTAATCGAAGCAAAATATATTTAGAACTTCATAATCATATCAAAAATTACAAACATGTTTGACTTAGATAATTACTTAAATTCATTAATTTTCTTGTCGGTATTGTTACTTCGTTAAATAAAAATTAGCCAATTGGTCTTTAAGAATATTTAATAATTAAGTAGATTCTTGATATCGTTGAAAATACTTGCTTTTAGACATTGCTTTTTATTTAACGTCAACTAATAATTAGCGTAGGCACTTATCCGTACGTCAGTACGTGTAACATCGGTTCGATAAATTTAATGTACCACACACCTGGTGCCTGTAACATATTGTAGAACCTGAAAAATTACCCCGTTACGTTTAAAAAGACGGAGTATACACCTAACAATTAATACATTGTTTTTTTTTATAACATATTGTATGTTATTTAATACTTGTGCATTACTGCCCTCCTATGCCCGAAGTCTGAATATATGATGCCTCATTATTTATTTGATTTCCGTACCACACACATGTTTTTTTATATACTTTACAAGTATCACAGAAAATTAAGTCACACATATTATGTTTTTTATAATCGAGGAGGATAGAGGTACACAAAACTACATATGTATTAGCGAAGTAAACTTACTCTAACTATGACCCGAGGTTACGAATGCTTTGCAACAGCACAGTTACGGGAGGACTAAAGGTGGTGGGTCCCTCTCGTGTCGAGTATAATCTGCTACACTAACGCCATCATTTTCGTCGGTTTGGTTTTAACGTCGGGCCGTAGTTAAAATAAGTTAACTTGACGAGTGTATGTCGCTTGCATAGAAACAATAAAAATAATTCTACAAAATTTTTTTTTTAGTTTCTAATACTCGACGAATCTTAAAGTGGTTTTAATTTTGTGCCTCTTTTGTATATACCGTGACATATATTGGTATGGTTGCGCAAGCTATGGTACTATGATATGGTGTTATGTGGTGTGGTGATTCTCTTCATCAAACTCAAGATGTCTTGAGATGGTGGATGGAGGTAAGTTACTCACTTTGTATGAAGAAGTATTTTTAGTTAGACTACGTTACCTCCTATTGTCTTATTTGCTATATCGCCTAGGGTTGAGGGATTCGGAGGAGTTAATCCTGACCAACCTAACTTGAATTACATAAACTTACTTTTCTCTAAATAATGATCGTTCTCTAATATTCTTGTTACTTTAGTTTCCTAAATTTTAGGTTTAGCGTAGTTGTATGAGCACAAACAGGCCGTTCTCTCCAGCATCATGATAGGGAGTCTTGCTATTCTTGAATTAAAACATTGTCTGTTCTGTATTTTGAGGTAGTTCTTGTTGGGAATGGTTAGCTATACAAGGAGGTCGCGATAATTATGTGTTCTGGGCTCGTATTAAGAATAAGGTTGTGCCGCAACTCAGCCTATTAAGTTTCATCCAATTATTGTGGCTCTTCGTTTAGCTAGCTACTGATCTTCATGCTTACGATTAAGTTGTTGAGTCTGTACTTATCGTACTGTTAGTGCATCATTTACGTAATAAATTGTCATGGTAAGCTTTTCTTTAAAAGCTATTCTTTCTCTTCTGTACAAGGAATGATTGTGGTTTCTTTATGGTTTGGTCCGAGCGATGTCGATGTCGATGAACCAGGGGCGGTTTATTTTTTTTTGAATCACTTCATCGCTGCTGTCGTCACCCACATTTTTATTCATAATAAAAATGTATTTATTTATAATACTTAAAAATATTGTTTTTCCAATTAATGATTTTATTACATTAAGCTACTAAACAATGATACAAAGCTCCCTCTGAGCTTCACTGTTTGTCTGCTAGAACACGAATGCTTTTTAAAATCAAACTGAACGTATTGTTCCGTGCAAGTGCTTTATTACTTTGCACGTGTGCGCACAGGTGTTTTGTTTTCGAATATTGCACGTGCTAATTTGTCTTAGAAAATAATTACAATAATATATAATAATTATTAGGTATGTTATTCATAATTATCAATTTGGTGTTAATTGTTTAGAGCAACAGCACGAAACACTGTGGATGCCGGGTCAAATAGATTTTGAAAAAAACTTGTTAATTATCTTATGAAATGACATCGTTGCGCCATATACATAATATTGTAATAATATATTTAGTGAAATGTGTTGATGTGGATTTATAAAATCGTAAAAATATACGAACGATGATAATCTTATTAAAATCATATTTTAATACAACGTCATTATACAGCGGGTAATCATAACGCCCATAGCATATGCGACTAGCAAATAAAAATATAGCATAACTTGATGTCCCTAGCCAGTCAGTTTAGAAGTTATCCAATCTTGGACACGAGTTTAATATAAAAAAAAGAAACCGCGAACCTCTTCTATATTCTCTATACCTCAATGTTTAAATACCATAAATATAACATAATTATGTTAAATGATATTTGCTAATGCTCACATAATCATTTCACAATTTAAAAATAAAATATGTTATACGAGACTAATAATTTAATCAACTAACTAATGAATAATATATTTTGAAATACGTTTGACTTCGTTGAAATTTAGATATTAAATAGGATTATCGAAATTCCGTTCGAGTCACGAACCACTGACCACAGATAGCCGTGATATTAAATCGAGCAATTTCAGAATATCCATAGCCAAAAATAGGTCGAAAACCTATGTTATATGGCTGGGGAATTGGAAACCGCCCATGAAAAATAATAACCTAATACTATTAGATATTATTTAGTTGACAAAAAATACATTCAACTCATATATTTCTATAGATAAAAGACAAACATTTTATTCTTGCAAAGCGCAAAGAACAACGTCGTTACTTGGCATTAACACTTTGCACTTAATAACAGGGATTGCTAAGGCTTTGCGCCCCGAACGCCGCTTCAGGGAAAAACAAACGCCCGAAAGAGTTTTCATTAAAAAATCCAGCACAGACTATTCCCGCCCTCTCAGTCGCAGACCCACCGTTCGGCGGAGCGGTCGTTTCCCGCCTTTTCTGCGTCGCGTTGACATTACGTTCCGAATATTTTTTATTGTTTGTGTTGTTTCTATCAGTGATTTTTTATTTGTGTTTAACGGTTCTCAACTGATTATAATTAATGGTGAGCTATTGAACATAATATGGAAATTGTAGATTTAATGCAAGATTGTTTCTGGAATCATTATTGTGTTTTTTAACCGCGTATTCTAGCTATTTTATTTAAAAAATGCACTGTAAAACACAATTTTACATATTTAGAATAAAGACGAATGAAGATTATATGGTAACTGAAATGTTGCAGCGTATATTTTATATGTACTTGTAAATGATCTTAGTTTTTTGTCAGTAGTAGAAGAGCAAATCGTATTATATAGGTATATTATGCTCATTGTAAAATTAGGTTGTGTTACGAATTATGAATTGTTCTATACTTTAAACAAAGCACACAACAGGTTCATAGTGTATATAAACCCCATTTAAATAGGTTAAAACGAGAAATGTAATAAGTAACTATTTTATTAACTACAATACCTTAAGTCAACAGTTACGAAAAATAATCTAAATTACTGAAAATCATTTTATACATTCTGTTCTCCTTACTAAATATTCTATTTATGTAGGTTTTATTAATGATTTCGTGTCAATAATACATTAAGTAATTTTTAAATCATAAATGTGTTTAATTGACAGACTGCTAAAGCCATAAGGTAAATTGAAACCTCTATATAGAAGAGACTATAAAACTGCACCCTTTGGCTGGAAATTAAAAAAAATAAATCTGTCAAATGTTTAATATCTGTGGCGGTATAGTATTGGCGGGAATAAATAAAATGTTATTAGATTTCA